CTGGATGGAGAGCTCGTATGCATCCACCTCTTCGCATCTTTTCCCTGCCACACACCCGTCTCTCCTCTCTCTCTCGCGCGCGTACGCCCCCTCAGTCGCTGCGAAAATACTCACTCCGCGAGGTCTGCGCATGGTGACGCGGGTAATTCCAGGCACACGCTTGAGTCCGATGCCTTGCAAGCTCTTGCGGCTCTTTCGCTCGGGCTTGGAAAGCACATGCTCGCCGATCGTCACGTCTCCTCCAGTTGCCTGACCCTCGCCGTCGGACTCCACCTGCAGCTGAGAGTGGATAAGCAATCAAATCAGCTTTGCAAGCTCATCTGGGACGAGCAAAGAGGGAGCGCACAGTCTTCGCGACCAGCGCTTTTCGCCTCCCTTCACCACCGCCAGGGCCCTACGACATGCCCATCCTGTGCCTCCGCTTTCTCGCTCCCGTGACCGAGTATCTGGCTGGAGCTCTGCGCTTGACAGCTGGTCATCCCGTATTGCACGACCAGCGATGCTGAGCTGCAGCATTGCCATGAAAGAAGCAAGGATGTGACTGGATACTCACGTCCTTGACGTCGTCGGCGATCTCTTCGATGGTGGCGGACATGGTGAGCGAAATACAAGGTCCAACAAAAAGGGTGGTGAACGTGCTTTGCGTGAAGGCTCTGACACTATGATGGTGCTAACGAGGATGAGTGACGAGTCAGTGAGGTGGCTTCAGAAGGACGCGAGGTGGCTGACTATCGCAAGTTGCCGCTGGCTGGCTGGCCGCACGCGCGCCCAGCAGCTCGTGACCTGCTGATGCAAAGCTCAGGACAGGACCATGCAATTCAAATTGCAGGCTACGCTACGCATGGCGGCCAGAGCGGCACGACGCGCAATTTGAATCGAAATTGAAAGAGTCACGAGGATGCGGGATGCACGTATACAACAGTCTTGAGTCAGAGTATACCAGCATGCTACTCTTGACTATATGACTCGTGACTTGATTCTAGACTATGCTGTATGTAGTCTGGCGTGCTTGCGCACCTCGATCGGGTCGCGATAGCGTACTTCTTTCGACTAGTACTACAACTACTACTAGTACTACTACAACATTGCAGAGTAGACTCGTGACTCGTGCCTTTATGAAACCCTTCGGCCTTTTGCTCAGCGAGAGGCCCAACCGAGAAGCTTCAGTCGGAGGCCGTGAATCATCTATAGTGACAGGCTCTGGCGCTGACCTCCTTTGTGGCACTTGGGTGTGATTGATGCTGCTAGAGGATTCCTCTGCTTGGGCGACTTGCCGCGCACGGAGGTCAATTTTGAATCAAAATAGGAAGGATCCCCAAGCAGCATCAGAGGTCGCGATGCGAATCACGTGAGTGCGTAGACCTGCACATGCTGTGCGGACCATCACGTTCACGATTCAACAACTCAACCGCTTGACGATGCTGGCCGTGCTCAGCGCTCGCCTGACTCACGCGCGTGTGTTCCGTCCAGCTAGCGCTCCAAATCGAGAGCTCGATCTGATTGAAGCATGCTGGCTTGGGGTCAACGTCGGCTACAAATGAGCTCTAGGGTACCCTCACGCTGGTGTATGACGCTTGCCGAGTATGCGGGTGGGCGCGGCGCCGTCAGCCCAGCGGATGCGCGTTCGGCCGAGCGAGCCGCAGCCGCAGGCGCTCATGCAGCAGCAAGGCATGCATCCAACTCAATGAATGAAAACTTGAACTCAAGGTTCGCCATAAACTAACCACTGCTCGCAATTGAATTTCAGCTCCAAGTCTTGATATACGTATTCACAATTTTTTATCCAAGAGTCGTTGCGTGTTGCGCGCGAGAGCTACGATCGAAAAGTCATACATCTTCATAGTTTGAAGGTCCTTCTGCGAAGGTCAAGTCAAGCTCAGGCTCGTGCTTCGGTCGTGCCTCATATGCTCTTAATCGCTGCGTAATTCGTGATGACGATTCACGATGGATGTCTGCTGGTGCATGTCGTGCTGCTTGTTGATGGTCGTCCTGCTGCTGCACGCACGCGCGCTGATTGTCGAGTCGAGTCTGACTTCGAGTCGCGTGAGTGCAACTGCTGCACGCGTGCGCACGCGCCATGGCAACGTCCACAAATAAATCGAGAGCAATCTTGAATGACAGCTGCATGAGATTGGCTGACGTATACAGTGACGTGGGGATCCGAAAACGATGGCGCGTTGAATCACGAGCTTGAATCACGAATGTAATATATCATTAACGGGTGAATTGACAACCAAAGTCGTGAGTTGCGCAGATTTGATTGACGATTGCTCTACCATTTGAGTCTGATTGGTGATGGCACACCACACTCACCACACAAGCCTCTGACCGAGTAAAGTTGCGCGGTCAGCGGTCCAAGGAAGCAGCCCGACCCACTCCAATGGTCCATCACATCGCAGCTTGCTCACCTTCTAGGACAGTCACCTCCCCACGAGCGAGGCGAGAGCAAGTGACCGACTGGCCAATTCAAGCCGTCGGCTGGGTCGCTTCACCGCTCATCTGACCCTTGTCCGCCTCTCCCCGCCATCGAGCGCAAGACATGTTGCGATCCACTGCCTCTACGGCGGTCACAGCGCTTGGCAAGCGACCTGCCCTAGTCGCCCCGCTGGCTGCGAGATGTTGGAGACAGTCGGATGGATCTGTGGATGTAGTGGTGACCGCATGCCCCATCACCAACATCGCCTTTCCCTCCTCGCCCTGCTCCTCCTCCTCCTCCCTCGTCTCGGCCTGCAATGCTCGTCGGCAAGCGCGCTCCTTTTCAACCTCTTGCAGTGCTCAAGCTCCGGGCTTGGTGCCTCAAGTCAAGCAGAGCGAGCCTACCCTGGCGCCAGGCGCGCAAAATTCTGCATCTTCCTCCGAGCTGAACAGTTTCATGTCTCCTGCAGCGGTAGCCGCTGCTACGAGAGCGACGGATAGACCATACCGCAAGGAGAGGAGACTGGCTCAGAAAGCTCAGCGCAAGCAGGCAAAGCGAGACAAGGCAGCCAACACCATCTTTGCTAAAGCGGGCGTAGCCACCAACAAATACTCTGCTTATGTGCGCAAGGATCAGCAGTTCAAGACGTTCAAGCCCCTGACGCCCTCTCTCAGATGGGTGCGACATCTGCTACAACCGGACCTGCACAAGGGGAAGCCTGAAAGGGCGCTCACCATAGCGAAGAGGAGCACGGCAGGGCGAAACAACTCGGGCAAAGTGGTGGTGAGAGGCCGAGGAGGTGGACACAAACGGAGGATTCGCATCGTCGATTTCCACAGAAAGACGCCTGGAGAGCAAGATGTGCTGCGGATCGAGTACGACCCGGGACGCAGCGCTCACATCGCGCTCATCGAACACAAGGAAAGCAAACTCAAGTCTTACATCCTCGCGCCCCAAGGCCTGAGAGCGGGCGATACGGTCGAGTCGTTCAGGTACAGCACGGACGTGCCCGGCGAAGCAAGCGGCAGCAGCACTCTCGACATTGGCATCTTCCGCACTAGAGCCATTCGTCCAGGCAACGTGCTGCAGCTACACCTCATACCCATCGGTACGATGATTCACAATCTATCGCTCACTCCGCATGGCTCGGCCAAGCTCATCCGATCAGCAGGTGCGGTGGGGCAGCTGATCGCCTTTGTAAAGCGGTCCAAGTCTTCGCCCGTAAGCAGCGCGATTGGACAGCCGCGTGGAGATATTCACAATGCTTTCGATGCCGAGGAAGTCGAACAAGATGGGCCGCAGCAGAATGTGCCAACGCATGCGCAAGTCAAGTTGCAGAGCGGAGAAGTTCGGCTGGTGCCCATTCGTTGCCACGCTACCGTGGGTCGGGTCAGCAACATAGATCATGAACACGTTCGCCTCGGAAAGGCTGGTAGATCGAGATGGCTGGGCATCAGGCCCAAGGTGCGAGGTGTAGCTATGAATGCGTGAGTGCAGCGACGTCTTGATACGTGTTGATGGCATACATAAGAAAGCTCACCACCTCGGCCCTTTACTCCGCCCAGCATCGATCATCCCCATGGTGGTGGTCGAGGAAAGTCAAAGTCAAATATGGTGAGATTTGAGAGCTTTCGTAGGCGCCGGCACGGCTCGACAGCACTTACTCAGACTACGATTGCGGCTCGATGTCGATTTCCCAATAGCATCCGAAATCGATTTACGGCTGGAAGACGGAAGGACGTACGCGCAAGCCGGGCACCAGAACTGGGAACAGGATGGTCATTCGCGAGAGACCGAGGCAGAATGGCAAGCGTCGCGTCAAGGGTGCTCCGGCAGCTTAGATCAGGTCGGTCTGCAAGCCGGGCCCTTCTCCAGAGAAATACTCGAGCCAGAGGCAAATTCATGCCATCATGCGCAATGGTTTGAAATAGCCTTTGCAATTGACACGCGCCCTTATCGACCCAGATCTTGACGAAGGTTTGCTTGCACAGAGCAGCTTGACTTGATCCTTCTTCCCAGCGTCATGGCTGGCCGAGCATTCAGCAGCCTGATGTCGTGCGCGCGATGCCGTCCTCGTAGACCCACCGTTTGTGTTGGGAGTAGAGAGGGAAACCACGTCCAAAAGTCACATGGGTGCTCGTCTTTCTCGGCTCGAACGTGACCAAGGAAGGCGCTGTCTTGCGTCACATTCAAAATCTGCGCTGCGCGTACGCGTGGGCCCAACATTGAGTACAGCTCGCTGCTGGTGTGGAACCTAACACCAAATCGATCATTGACTTGGCTAGTCAATCAGCTCTTGACCATGCAGCTCATGACAAAAAGGCCCTCGCGGAGAGGAGAGCGGTCACACATCACGAACCCAACGTTGGAGTTTGAGTTGATCACCAGTTGCGCAAGTCGCGAGCGCCATGTAGTCACGTGATCCTGTGCAGCGAGATACAAGCGCACGACCGAGCGGTCCAGCGTGCGTCGATGTTTGCTGCTGCTGCTGGCGGTGCGGCGTTGGCGGCTGCTGCTGCTGCATGCTAGGGCGTGCGAGCAGGCGGTTATTGTTGACTTGTTATTCGTGATTTCAATTGTTCTCGCCGCAATTGCGCTTGACCCCCCGGCCGCTGCTGCATGGCCACGCTGCTGTGCGCGTGATGCGTAGACAGCAGCGGTAGCGAGCGGCACAGCTTCGACACAGAGTAGGCATAGCGCACACGCACACGCGGTGCAGCAGAAGCAGCAGCAGCAGAAGAGGCAAATAAGCGTCCGATTGCGCTTTCCACCTGCTTGCTGCTCGTGAATGGTGGGTGGGTGTCCTTTGATCGCGCTCCCCGCCCAGCTGGAGTGGGATTTGCGCGTATGATCGAGCAGGCCAGGCCTATTACTACCACTCACACTACTCCAACTACAACTCTGACCAGTGCCACTATACTACTCGCGACTCGTGACTAGAGCTCACTCACTTTCTACATCCTCCTACCCACGCCCATCCGGCTTGCGAACCCCTCAGCCCGCGCAACACCAGTGTCAGCGCCTCTCTCAGAGGTCCTCGACAAGTCAAGCGCCTTGCACGCCGCTCAGCCTTTGCGTTGCGGCAATGCGTTGAGCTGGCAAGGACGACGTTTCGCGCGCATACAGCTGATCCATTCGTCCTCGCACTCTGTGACCAATACCTCGGCCAGTGTGAGCCTCAATCGTCCGGCCTCCATCTGTGATCTCTCTCGCTCGCCTTGCAGTGATTTCGTTTCGATATCGCAACTGCTGGAGCACCTCGTCGGTACTGTCTCAACAAACGTAAAGCCCTCTCCATCACCACCGCCACCATGAGTTCTCTCTTGACCAATGGCATGTACTTGCAGCAACAAGGCGGTGGCCCCGTTCAAGGTCAGCATATGTTTGGCAGCATGGGCCCACCTCAGCAGCAGCAGATGCAGCAAGGCCAGCAGCAGCAGCAGCAGCAGCAAGGGGGGCAAGGTGGGCCGCCAGGCGCACCAGGCAGTCACGGCAATGGTCAAAATCTTAGCGAAGCTGGGATCTCAGCTCCACCAGAGTACTCTTTGGGAGGCGTTTTGCACTTCTTGCAGACCGAGTGGCGGCGCCACGAGCGTGATCGCAACGAGTGGGAGATAGAGCGCGCGGAGATGAGGGTGAGTAGCCGCGCCGCGGCATGGCAGGCTGGAGATTCTGCCCCACCGCTCGCCCTGACCATCACCGCTGCTCACCTTGTACTACTTCACCTGCATCAGGCGCGCATTGCACTGCTCGAGGGAGAGCGTCGAGGTGTGGAGAACCTGAAGACAGATCTAATGAGGCGCGTCAAGATGCTCGAGTACGCACTCAGACAAGAGCGGTGAGCGCCATCGGCAATTTGTTAGGCTGCTCGCTTGGGTGCGTCTAGGCTCATCACGATTTCTCAACAACCGTACTTGCTCCTGCAGCAACAAGTATCTCTCTAGCGGCGCAGGCAGCACCATCACTGCCGGCGGTGCTGGGCTGCAGGGCACGATTTCAGGCATTCCTGCGACCAAATTCGCAACGCTTCAGGGCGCTGATCGACCTGCCTCCTCTAGCGGACGAAGCTCTCCTGCACGACAGGAATCTGACCGTAAGTGCTGCTGCGGCCGCTGCGCGCACACCACAGCATGCGAATCTTTCGGCTCACCATATCGCCTCGATGCATATGTGCTCAGCGTCGGCCTCTGCGGAGCCAGCCACACATCAGCGCGGCGGGTCCACATTTTCTATCAACACCTTGAACATGGGCACGGTGAATGGCTTGACGCTGAGCGGACCGGGAGCCTCCCTCTCGCGCTCCAACACGACCAATTCCAAGAATTCACGGGCACGTGCCAAAGCGCAAGAATATCTCAAACAGTGAGCATAGGGCCGAGACGTTCAAGTGGAGCGTCAATGATGGACTAGACTGAGCTTGGAGTGTTACGCTCCTCATTTCTTTTGTGCGAAGGTGTCTGCAAGAGATCTCGTATTTGACTAGCACATCGACGTTAAATCCGTTGCCCGACAGAGCTTATACCGGTACCGGCGGCGGCAGTTTCAGCATTGTGCGACCTAGGAAAGCTCTACTGGACAACGCACCCCCGTCTGGTGGTACTGCGTTGGATGATGGGCTCACTCTAGGGAGTCGCTCCGCGCCTCCAGGCAGAGTTTCAGGGAGGGGTGGCACACTGGGAGCGCCGCGGTCTTCTCTGGCTACGCAGGCATTGCCGGAAGAGTCGTCCGAATCCGAGACAGGTAGCGAGTCTCATCAAGGAGCTGATCCGCTGGGCGCGACCGGCGACGTGCAAGGCAAGAGTCCCTTGACTGAGCCGCTCCACGCCGCAGCTGCACTTGACGACCGGATGGCGCCTCCCCCTGCGCCTTCGGCTGGCACCACTGATCTACCAGCAGAATATGGCGCTGATTTGCCAGAAGACGATGAGCCCAACCAAGTCACGGCACGATACAGAGGTGCAGGAGATCCTGCCGATGCCACGGCCTCTGACTGGGCTAAGCTAAAGGAAGCTGGGCAACGAGAGAGAGAGAAGCGCGAGAGGCAGCGAAAAGCCCAAGCTGCAGTAAATGGAGGTGAGACTGCTTCCGAAGCAGCTACCTTGGCGACCACCTCCAGCCAGCTCAATCAGCTCCTCAAGGTCAACTCTGCGACTCGTAGTGCTGAGGACGATCTGGCCAACTTGAGCCTCCACGAGCCTGCAGATGAAGCAGCTGCTGCCCGTGCAGAGGCAGAGAAGAGTACAGCTGATGACGAGGCGGCGGAACGATTGTGGAAATCGAAGCGAGTGCTTCGCAACCATCTCGATGCTGTTCGTGCCATCGCTTTCGACTCCACGGATGCTATCTCCGCTTCGGACGACAACACCATCAAGTTTTGGCACCTGGACCCGGCCACGTTGGACCAGCCAAGCCGGACCGCTGCCGACAACGAGCCTGTCCTCACTTTTCGAGGTCATACAGCTCCTGTCACCTGCTTGGCAGTCGCGTCTGCCACGCGTCGCATGTTCAGCGGATCCATGGACTCGAGTGTGCGAGTCTGGAAGCTACCTGAGCGGCCCTTCACCCCGTATCCTCCGTACGAGAATATGGAGCTGGCCAGTCTGGCTGGACACACTCAGGCAGTGTGGGACATGGCTCTATTGCCGCAGCAAGGGGAAGGGCTTTTGTTGGCTACTGCGTCGGCCGACGGCACGGTGAAAATTTGGACAACCGACGACAGACCTGCTCTGCAGCTCTCCTGGGACTATCACGGGACAAATGACGGCCGGATAACAGGAGAGGCTGCGGGTATTGATGCTACCGAGCGGCCCGTGCCCACATCCGTCTGCGTCGTGCACTCCGACTTGCGAACCGTGGCAGTTAGCTACTCCAACTCCATCGTCAAGCTATTCGAGCTGAAAAGCGGACGGGAAGTGCTCAAGCTGAAGAGCGACAGCACCTACCAAGGGACGCCGGCCAGTCAAGTCAACAAGATTGTCGCGCACCCAACTTTGCCTTTCCTCGTCAGCGCTCACGAGGATAGGCACATTCGTGTCTTCGACCTTGGTACTGGAGACTGCACATTCGAGATGCTTGCGCATCTCGATGCCGTGACAGCCTTGGACATCGATCCTGCCGGTCTGACCCTCGTCTCTGGCGGACATGACTGCAGCGTGCGTTTCTGGGACATCAACGGCATTGCTGGCGGAGCTACAGGAAGCGAAGTAGAGCCGGCAAAAGAAACTTCCAAGGCCGGCTCATCGCAAGCGGTTTGCGTGCAAGAAATTACCGCACACCGCCGCAAGTCGTCCGAAGGCGTGCTCGCCGTACTCTACCACCCTAGCGCACCCTTCTTTGCATCGAGCGGTGCAGACGGTGTAGTCAGGATCTACGGATGAGCCAGAGCGTTCTTGCAATGGACTCTAAATCTTGGCGTACGACCAAGCACTTGGTCATTTCACCAGGCTGGGGCGATACTGCCGCGATGGTTCGCCCGAGGCAGCGAGACCATGCACCTCTCTCATTGCACTCCGTGTCGAGACACAGTCACGTATTTCCTTCTCCCGACTCACTCAAATCCTCTCGGATACTTTACAGCAATCGCACCTTCTTCTGATAGCTCAAGCAATCACCTTGTGCTCTCTGCAAGTCGTTTCTCTAGTCTTGGTCGAAAGGCGGTGCGGCCAATGACATTTTTTCCCATTACACAGCAAGGTTTCCATCCCTGGAGGATACTGGCGGGAGAGATGGCAGGCATATTGCAACGGGCACGAGTCTGTGTGCAAAGTAGACGGCACAGCTCAGCAAATGAAACAGTTCACGACTTTAGGTTCGATGCTTGTGCGTGCCATCATTCTGCGTGCGGCTATGTACCTAGCACGGAAGGCCGATCCGGCATGAGTGATTCCTCTCGCTAGCTGCCTAGGAGAACGTGAATCGAGCCTACGAGGCAAGTTGGGGGCCACTAGCCATACCAGACAACCGCTCGCGGTAGTTCCTGAGAGCTATTCAGATGTTCGGGGTTTGAGGTATCACAATGGGGAAAGGAGGTACGGGAGGCAAACGAGATAAATGAAGTTGCTCAGAAAAAAAAAAAAAAAA